CTTTGATGACTCTTTCGCCAATTCTCGCTTACCCGCAAAAGAGTCAAACTAAATTAATCGTTCTCATCTTTCTACTAATAGCGAAATTTGATTTAAAATGACGAGTGCTTCTTCGTCTCCTCTATTTTTTCTACGAGATTTTAATATAAGTTATAATAGATTTTTTTATCTTTTTATAGGTTTTAACATAGATTTCATAGATAAGAGAAAGAGGTCTTTTTATAATATAGACTCTATATAGATTTTATATATAGACTTTTATAAATCTCGAATATGATTCTTGATATTTTCTTCTAACGATACTATTTCATACAAAAGGTATAAAAGTCATAACGTCACATTCATCAATCACGTTTGAAGAGGCTTTGTCGCGTTATCCGCGCATTTATTTGAACCGGAAAACGGATCGAACGATCCCGATCATTTATACATTTTTCACTACAAACTGTGAATGCAAATGCGCAAAGATTGTAGCGGAATAATTTGAAAATAACTTTATATTAATTCACATAAAAACAGCTTTTAATTACTGTCTCTCAATATGAAAAATCAAAGTACTTTTAAACGCACAAAGAAGATATAATTAGCACCGACAGCAACGATCGTTTTATTGACGCCACTTAATTAACAATGGGTAAATAAAACTGCTTTTTTACACTTTCCTAAAGTGCCTGGAGTGTTTTATGTGATAAGAATAATTGTCTGTAGACCGTTATTCACAGTGCATTACTGAAAACTCTGATTTATGATTATGGTAAAGAAGATTTTCCTTACGTCGCTTTTTCGTAAAGCTTATTAAAATTAATGCGTCGTTTTTTGAAATGCCTGAAAGTCGCGAGTAACAAATGTCTGACAATGTCGTATTTTTTTTTTCGCTCGTTTAGCTAACATGATTTATAAACAACCTCTATTATCTTTTTCTTCACAATATTCCTATTAAGATATAATAGTATCTGCTATCTTCTATAATGCATCGACTAAAACCTTTAATTGAATTGTTAGATAGAGCAATGATAAAAATGAATGCCATGTAATCGTATCACTTTGTTCGCGTTACTACTAAGGCAGCCTGCTTCCGCGCGGATTCTACCTTTCTTCGTTTTATCGAAGTTGTAGCATGCGCTCGGCGACCGGCGCATCGTCAAAAAAATCGATTTAGCTGCCGTGAAGTTTTCTATCTTCCCCGTGGAAGTCGTAGATAAAAGCAGTAGGTAACATTTCGGAAAGCTGGCGTAGAAATCACGGATGAATTATTCGAACTATTGTTTCTGTTTTTGTGATCCATTTAATCTGTATTCGCAGCAACAGTGATAACGCTCTCTCGTGAAACTTTTAATACGGTGAACATACCTTGAAAAAACTCGCTGGAATTATTAATTTTGACACGTTATGTATGTATATTATTTATTTACTTTGTAATGTGATATAAGCAATGCATGATTACATATTTTATTGTTATATTTTATAAAAATCTTGAGAATAAAACAGCGTTTTTTTTTATTCCATTTTACATTATTTCTATTATGCAATAACTGAATATCTAGAATGCTTTAAAAATCTGTATACGAAAAATGTAAAACCCGTTACATATAATATCCATCTGTAATACTTGCATTGTAACCATCGTTCATGTGATAACGGAAATAAAAAAAAAAAAATAATAATAATAAAATAGAAAGTAAAAATAGTTTTGAATGCGCATAGTCGATATTTTGACAATGAAATACGAGTGATACGAAAACACGTTTTGCGATATATCGAAATAAAAATGAGTTTACAAGAAGAATTGTAGTAACATTTTTGCAGATCTATATTGTAACTTGTGCACAACTTTGATGAATAGAAAATATCATATATTACAGCTAAAATCCACTGTTAATTTGACGTATAGAATACATTTATTGTTGTGCAGATCGATAAAATTACGCTTAAAACGGCTGAGTAATGATGATAACAATGGCATTGTATTTAACTCTCGAAAACTTTAGATATTTGTCAGTAATTATTTAATTATTTTTAACGTCACATTATATTATCGAATCGTTTTATTTAAATGAATTTTACAAAGTTCGCAGCAGACAAAAAGATATAATGCTATAATTTCTTTTCTTTCGAGGTTTTAATGCACAATACACGTTCATTGTTTTTTTACGAGTATGATTAAATTCTGTCTGAACGAGTTAACAAGAACCTCGGAATTTGTGTTCGTGAAACTGTGTAAGAAAACGTATCTCTCGGAGTTGCAAGAGTTAAAGTTGGAGAGGCGGTCTTAACCGCGTTTGCGAAATGAAGCCGAGTATAGTCCCTTTTTCTCATCAAATTATCTCGTGTTGCCGTATTCGCTGCGATGAAATTCAAGGGGAAGCGCTTGCGAAGAAAAATCAGTTGATTAGATCCCACATGTGGAATCGGTTAGCCTAACCGACCATGGATGCTTAAAATAAAGCAACCGAACTTAATGAGGATCTATCGTACTGTTGAATTAACGAACCTAGGGAGCGAAGGTGAGGTGAGTGGAAAATGGGAACCCTCTCGACGGGCTGCCCTTTTCAAGTAATTTGTTGACACTCTTGAATAGGATCGCATTAAACGAAACTATTAGTGGTTTCTATGGTCGGTACGTGTGCGCGCATTTATCCGTAATCAGGGACGATCGAATTAAATTTTACACAGCGAATTGTGCGAATAGGAGATTTTATGATATTTTCGAGAGAAGATAAAAGCATTCATATTTTTTCGAATAAAAGTGAGAGGCAAAACAGTAGTCCATATTTTTTTTATACGAATTATTTTCCGTTTTTACTACTCACATTTGTACTTCGCCTCATACTTCGTCTTAAATGTTTTCCCTCATCGTTTTGCCGTGGCACGTAGCAGTAAGTTTACTTTCGCAGATATTAAATACTTTTCCTTACTTGTATGTTTATACAATATTTGTTACAACTTGCAGAAAACCGCTTTAACTTCAAATATAGACAAGAGGATCCTGTAAACAAATGTTCTGCGTTTATTTATTACTTTTCAAAATAATTCCTGCGATAACTAAAAGAAATAGCAATTGCTCCATTTTGTTCGTATAATTTAATTTTTTTTTTTCCCCAGATACTTAGACAGAACGAGTCACGCGAAAACCGAGATGTTATTTTCACTGTATGTACGAGTTGAGTAACAAAGATCGTGTTTCTTGTCTACAAAATGGATTCTTTCTCACTCTTTTTCCCTTTCTTTCTTTCTTTATTATCTGCTTTTTTCCGCATTTTCCAGACTCAGAAATAAAGTTTTATACAAGCGAAAGACATACGAGGTGTCCCAGAACCGCCATCCTCATTTTTGATGACAGTTTTTTTGCAGTAAATTTCCTCTATCTTCCTCTTCCTCTCTCTCTCTCTCTCTCTCTCTCTCTCTCTCTCTCTATCTATCTATTTATCATTTTTTTTTCTTTGTAATATTTTTCGATTTTTTAGTTTTATTGCAATTTTATGCAATTATTTCATAATTATTCACATTCATATCTTTTTCTCTGAGAGATTTAATATTATTAAATTTTAATTTACTTATAATTTTCAAGAAATATTATTTTATCTTAGACTATTTTATACTTATTGTTTTATACTTTTATACTACACAATTGTTTTTTATTTGTATTGCAATAACTGAGACATTTTCGCGCAATAAAAATACATATAATGCTAGAATTCTACTTTATATCCCGTAATTAGGTTCGAGGTCTTTCAATCTAATTTGAAAATAATTAGCTCGTTATACGATATTTTGAAATTCGCATTTTTGCAGCTGCAACCTAAAACAGCGATTGGAAGGTTGCAATCGTGATTTCGCATATTATAAATTGTCATGTGTCACAATTTATTTCCCTCACTTCCTTGGCAGCTCGACAAAGAGGCCTCTGCTGAGAACACATAAGTAGCTCAACAGGTAGCTTTGAGAATCCCGCGCTCTTCTCTCTCTTCTTCCTCGTATTTTTCTGCCGTTCTTTCATATTTTACCATGCTACGCCGGCGAGCTGTCACGCCTACACGCGTGGATTGCTCTTCAAGTTTGATACTTTCCATGCCGCTACACCCTTTGACATCGAATTTGATTGAATTTTGGAGGCGCGTGTATCTACCCATGAGCGCGATAAACGCGTTTAAGTAAATGCTGGTTTGTTTATCGTATCATCACGGTCATTTTACATAGCTGAGTTTTTATAAAATATCAATCTCAGATGCGTTTGTAATAGTCGCACGATATGAAGTAATCTCTTTAAAAACTTTGTCTTTGAATATATAAAGACTTTTTTTCTAAGAAAAACTAGTAAAATTAATAGTATGGAAAAATGTCAATGAGATATTTATAATTTTATTCTATGACATACAATTATAACAGATAAGTATTAATTGTTTCCAATAAAGTTCTTTTTTATTTATTTTCAATTTCTATGAAAGGATTCGAACTAATAATTTACCGTCATTGCAAACAGATAAAGAAATAAAAGAAAAAACGACAATTTTTATAGAGATTATTTACCACGTTATATCATCAGCTGAATTTATTTAGATATCAAATTTCAGTCAAAATTGTACTGCTTCGAAGACACGAATATCGAGAAAAAGTTATTTATCGCAATCATTAATGTTGCCTGGTAATTCATTCGACGCTCGTTGAGGCATAATCATACGGACGATACATCTCGAAACAGTAAATAAAGTGTGATTCGACGCAAACATCGAGTGGACACTATGCAATCAGATGCGGTTCGTGAATATGAAAAAAAATGCGCAATCAACGCGCTGTCACAATTCATTGATAGCAAGTCACAAATTGTGCGTTTTCGCTTCACCTTTGATTTATTATATCGTGAATTTTAAAAATTACATTAAAAGAAATAGAAATTTAAGATTTTTTATCGTGCTTGTAACGGCGTCTTTTTGCCTTCTCTTTCCTATTCTTCTTTCTTATCATAACGAAATTTTAAATTCTCCTCCTTAGTTTAAGCGAGTTTAGCTTTGAACGGATACTGAATCGAAAAATGCCTCGCGGACGACAGATTCTTTTTCGTTGTCCAGTTTTCGCGTTCTACGAGATCCGTGCGAGATTCGAACGTCTTGACTTGTCTTGTCAAAGTCAAAGGTACACCCTCCATTCTCGCAGGATTTCGTGATCCTGATTGTCTTGCATTCAACTCGTCCGCCATTTGTCTCGACGTTACTAGAACACTCTTCAATTGGTTGTTTTAAAGAGGCCGATGTTTTCTCTTCGTCGATGAAATGCTTGGATTCTATATAACACGTTCTGAAGGTCGTATCTGATCCCCGTGATAAAAATTCCGCCAGTTCGTCGTCGAGCTTGCCTCGACTTGAAACATCTGTACGAGACTCGATTACGTATGTTAGATTAGTCCTTTTACTTCTGAAAGATCTCGCACTGTCCAACGAACTTGACTCGTTATCTGCATTAATATTTCAAATTTGGAGATTCTTTTTTATTCAAATAATGTATATTTTCAAAAGAAACGTGTAATATACAAAATAAAAAAGTTTATTTAATAAAAAAACAAATAAAAATATATATATACATATATATTAATCTTATAAAATAATATGAAGAATGTTAATTTCATATAAAGTCCAATTTACATTCAAACAACAAAACTTAATGTTTTTATACCTTCAAATAAACAAATTTTTTATTTCTTTACGTTATAATTTTTTGAAACAACGGATCTATCAATGGATTATTTTTACGCTTTATATTCTTTTTCAATTAAAAAAAATTTTAATAGAATCTCTATAAATATAGAGCTATAAATATAGAGCTATCTCTCTACCCTAAGAGATCTTTGATACCTATTTTATGCGGATCGAGAAACTCGTCCTCCAGGCAGTCGGAATAAAACGACGGCGTTAAAGCGTCGTCCACCTTGCTAGTCGACATTCTCCTAATTCCCAAAGTTGTTATCGCTTCGTTTCCCTCGAATAGTCCAGTCTCTTCGCTCCGTGGCGATAACCTTCGAAGAGCATCCTTTAAGCATTGATCCTCGTCGAACGTGACTTCGCGCAGAGCGCGATTCAGCTGTTTGATTAGATCTCGGATGTAAGACAGCATCGGGGTATCACCCTCCTCCTCGCTAATCTTTGCGGCGACTCGCAGCTCTTCGAGCGCCTCTGTCCGAAGCAGAGTTCATTTTAGGGAAAGTCATGCACGGAGATCTCTTTCCATAATTTTGCATTCACATACATAAATTCATGCTAGTTTACACGAACGGCGGATGAATCTATCCGCTTCTTATATAAAATACTGCGCGATATCAGTGAAGTAATATTGGATTGAATACTCAAATATATTAAATTGGAGAGAAAGATTCAAATTGTAGAATATTTATAGGGTGTTTCATTTTAATTGTCCCAGGCAAATATCTCGGAAAATATGGAAAATACGGGAAAACGTTTTAGATAAAAATTGTAAGATATCAAGGAGGACAGATGATGCTGACATTTGTATGACCTTGCGATTAAAAACCCCTGCCAAGATTAACTTTAAATTTTTTAATGGGAATCTGTACTTTTTATTGCATATTCTTATAGCTAACGTCAAACGTTTTCAAAACATTATCTATTTGTGTCTTTTGCACAAGCCGTGCCCGAGATATGAAGCTTCAAAGTTGACATACCGCCGGCATTCGCATTACCTGACGCGAGGGGCTATGCACTAGTGAATGCGATGAACAAGTGATTTCAGATTGAAGTCGATTTTAAATCATTTTATCGATTTCATGAATACTTCAAGCAATTAGAAAACCATGCGATTTAATGTGATTTCATACGATTTGATCAGTGATTTCTGAAATCGTTTTTGATTATACGTGATTTCATACTGATTTCAAAAGTTCAGAGATTTCATTCTGATTTCAAGTTATTTCAATGATATTTTCGTGATTTCGATTACAAAAGATTTTTTTCTAATTTTAACCGATTTCTCGTGATTTCGATTTTGATTTTATACCGGAGTGCTTCAATGATTTCCTGAATGAATAGCCCCTCCACCTGATGTATACCGCGGAGATGTTGCTCGGTCGGATTTGTATATCATAGGAGCCCTGAAAAGAGCCGATTGTGTGTGTGTGTGTATGCGCGTGCGCGTGCGCGTGTGCGCGTGGGCGTGCGTGCGCGTGCGTGTGTGCGTGTGCGTGCGTGCGTGTGTGCGCGTGCGTGTGTGCGTGTGCGTGCGTGCGTGTGTGCGCGTGCGTGTGTGCGTGTGCGTGCGTGCGTGTGTGCGCGTGCGTGTGTGCGTGTGCGTGCGTGCGTGTGTGCGCGTGCGTGTGTGCGTGTGCGTGCGTGCGTGTGTGCGCGTGCGTGTGTGCGTGTGCGTGCGTGCGTGTGTGCGCGTGCGTGTGTGCGTGTGCGTGCGTGTGTGCGTGCGTGTACGTGCGTGCGTGCGTGTGTGCGTGTGCATGCGTGCGTGCGTGCGTGCGTGCGTGTGTGTGTGTGCGTGTCGTGTGCGTGTGCGTGTGCGTGTGCGTGTGTGTGTGTGTGTGTGTGTGTGGTTAAAAAAGAATAAACTAATAATCAAAATAATAATAATAAAAATAATATAATATGTAGACTCCTTCTGAAACGTCGATTGAAACTCTCATTTACAACTTTTATATTCTCACACAGTTTCAAATATTCATGATTAACGCAATGTTCGAGTTCAAATAAAAAAAATATAGTTGACGGTTTCATGTACAAGCAAGAATCGTGAAGAAAGTGGGAAAGTTTGTATTTGTTTGCAACCGTGGAAAAAGAGCAATATCGTTCAGTTTCCTTCTTTTGGATGGGAAGAGTGAGGAAATAATCAAAGTGAAGTTGCATGCCGTTTATAAGGAACATGCACCTTCGATGACTACTATCAGATATTGATTCAATGAATGCAAGCGTGGCCGAACATCTGTTTTTGATGAAAAGCGCCCGATTCGCAGAGTTCGACAAATCATATTGTGTGGATGGCTTAAAAAAGTTGGAATAAGGGTTGAAAAAAAGGTTGGAATAGCTGGACTAAGTGTATCGAGCTGAAAGGAGACTATGTTGAGAAATAGATAAAAAAAATTTTTTTTTAAATGCGTTTCCTTCCCTAACACAGATACTTATCATACAGCTCTCGTACTATATCGTCGCGACGCGACTCTGTAGTGGAGGGCTGTCACAACAGGGGTTCACACAAGTGTGAATCGTGTACATATAATACGTAGAGCGCTTTGCGTATTACATGTACACTGGTCACACTTGTGTGCGTATCCCCTTCACTGCAAAGTCGTATTGCTCGCGTCTTGCGATGAACAAGTGATTTCAGATTGAAGTCGATTTCAAATGATTTTATCGATTTCATGAATACTTCAAGCAATTAGAAAACCATGTGATTTAATGTGATTTCATACGATTTGATCAGTGATTTCTGAAATCATTTTTGATTCTACGTGATTTCATACTGATTTCAAAAGTTCAGAGATTTCATTCTGATTTCAAGTTATTTCAATGATATTTTCGTGATTTCGATTACAAAAGATTTTTTTCTAATTTTAACCGATTTCTCGTGATTTCGATTTTGATTTTATACCGGAGTGTTTCAATGATTTCCTGAATAAATAGCCCCTCCACCTGATGTATACCGCGGAGATGTTGCTCGGTCGGATTTGTATATCATAGGAGCCCTGAAAAGAGCCGATTGTGTGTGTGTGTGTATGCGCGTGCGCGTGCGCGTGTGCGCGTGGGCGTGCGTGCGCGTGCGTGTGTGCGTGTGCGTGCGTGCGTGTGTGCGCGTGCGTGTGTGCGTGTGCGTGCGTGTGTGCGTGCGTGTACGTGCGTGCGTGCGTGTGTGCGTGTGCATGCGTGCGTGCGTGCGTGCGTGCGTGTGTGTGTGTGCGTGTCGTGTGCGTGTGCGTGTGCGTGTGCGTGTGCGTGTGCGTGTGCGTGTCGTGTGCGTGTCAATAAGATATTTCAACTTGCCCGCGGTATATGTATACATCGGGTAATGCGAATATATATATATCCAGAGGAAAATGTTGTATTTTACACTCTGCTTCTTTCCTCTTCTTTGCTCTCGTTTTTGCAGTTCAACCATATATTTCTGATATAACCAGATATTTGAGATATTTTTTTCGACTATTTTAAATAACATAAAATTGTGAAAATTGCGCGCTATTTTTTTGAAGAGTTAAAATCGCGTAGAGTGTAACGCAATATTAAGTAAAAAAATTCTGAATAAAGTCAAAGATTAGTTTAAAAGTTTAGAAAATTTCGAGAGAAAAGAACGAGGTATTTGGCAACGATGCGTCACAATTTTTCCAGGATTTCGCAAGAGAAAATTTATTTGGCTGAGGAATTCAGCCAGGAAGAAGAACGGGGGAGACGTTCTTGAAGGGACTCGGGGCGATAGTTTGAGAAATGGAGTCATCACCAGCGAAACGACCCAGCGTCGCCAGGCACTGCGCCCGCAGTAAACCCGCATGGAAGGTCCACTTGTTCGAACTCGCCTCTTCCGCACACTCCCGGCACTGTGACGCCTTGCGCAACGCCTCGACGTACTTCCCCATCTCCAAATGGCAGCGTCCGATCTCGTGATGCAACCAGGCTCGCGGCACCGGATGATCGACATGGATCGACAAATTTTCCCAAGCACGAGCGGCGACCTCCAGATGACCGAAACTGAGATGTACTTTGCCGAGAGTCACGAGAGCTTTCGATAGGAGAACGACGTCCTTGGTTCTCTTCGCCAAGCGCACCATCATGGCGACGTTACTGCAAGCTCGATCATGCCTTCCCAAGGCGATGTGGATCAGAGATAAATATCGATACGCTGGTATCGTGTATCGATGAGGATCTTCCAAACCGGACGATAACGTCAGTAAATCCTCAGCGAATCTCAACGAGGCCTTCATTTTGCCAGCGTTAAAATTAGCTTTCAAATTCTTTAACATGGCGTTGGCACGATTATTTATGTGCTTCAATATCGTTCTGGATCGAGTCAATTGGGAGCTCAATGAACCTAGTGCGGGGGAAGTTTTCTGGGAGATCTTCTTGCGGATGTCGAGATATCTAAAAAAGAATAGACACATCCTCTCTTTGATCAGAAAATTGAAACTTAATAATATCAATATTTCGAGTCATTAAGAGTGAACTTTTGTGACTTTTTGGCGAATTAAACTTTTAGGGCGCAATTAAATAATGCAATTGTATCGTTCGGTTAAATTAAAGTAAATTTTTTTTTTTCGATTTTTAAGAGCTTTAATATTCTATAATTTTAATTATAGATTTTATTTTGAGATGTAATTGCTAAGAAAGAGAAAGAGAGAGGTTTAATCTTGAATCTCAAAAGATTGCAATGAAAAAACAGTTTCAGATTCATATGTGAAAGAATCTTTGAAGTTAAGATTAATAATGAAATTGAATTTCATCGCAAAATTTTGAAGCACTCTGTGATATTTACGTTAATTAATAAGCAAGTTAATTCTACACTTACTTGAAGATATCAGGGATAATCGATAGATTATTACAAGACTTTGAAACATCGCGTGTTTTGAACGCCGAACTCTCGGGAACTGAAGTTACCTTTGAGATTGCATCATACTTCGTACTCGGCGAAAGCCTCGCCAAGCTCTTCTCCGGATGGTTCCATGAGTTTATCGTGGCCGCGGTACGTCGTGCTGCCACACTGTGACTGCTGTCGTGCGGGCATACAATAGCCGCTCGATGATATAGCACCAATGCTGACTCATATTCACCACTGTGCATTTTATGCGAGCAAAATTTTAAATTCTCATTTCTCAATTTTAAATTTTAAATTCTCTTGTTTATTCTCATTATCAAGCTCTTATTATTGATCTTTTATATTCATGTACAGACGAACTAATATAATATTTAAACTCATAAAATTTTATTTAGACAATATCTATTAATAAAGTAATAACTGCTAAATAAAATTTTATAAGTTTAAATATTATATTAATATATATATATACAGGGTGTATCTGAAATGATGCACTAAACTTTAGGAGCATATTCTAGAGGTCAAAATAACTTTTTTTCCTATGAACATGGGTCCGCAAATGAACCCTCTTCCGAGCTAGAGGCTCCTAAAGTTTGGGGAAAAAATTAAAAATTGACTGTATTCCAGAAAAAAAAAATGGCAGAAAGTTGAAATTTGGTATAGCCCAGTAAATTATGAAGTAAAGTAAGCCACTAAAATGAAAAAATAAAAACGTATTTCACACATTTTCGAATTTTAGCTCGGAGGGGGATTCATTTGCGGACCCATGTTCATAAGAAAAAAAAGTTTTATTTTGACCTCTAGAATACGCTTCTAAAGTTTAGTGCATCATTTCAGATATACCCTGTATATATATACAATATATGTAAACATATTTAAAATCTAATTTAATAAAAGCACTTAATAATATAATTTTTTACTCAAAAACCAAATTTTTTATGGAGAAGAGTATAATTACAACATTCACAGATGTGAGATTATAAAAAAAATATTGTCTTATTGACAGTGGAATTAAATTGCAGATTCTTGAGAATTTTTTTATTGGGAAGAGAGAGAGAAGATATATATTTATTTAGTTATTTATTTGTAGTGTTAAAACGTTCATGGCTATCCGCAAAAAACTAAACATCGGCCGTTTGTAAAGCGATATTCTCATCAAATGTTCTTTCAAAGAAATGATGTATTGACAACATTTCCGATATTCACCATGACCTATTTCTCGCAGCGGCCAAAATGCTTGTACTTTAGTGACAATAATGATAGGTTATTTTTTGTAGTAAATTTTAAATTTGAAATGTTTGATATGGCAAAATTATAACAAAACGCCCCGCGTTTTTTCGATAACTTCGCCTTTCTATAATCTTTCATATAATCCGATAAAAGCTTTTGCAGTTAATGAAAATATAATAAAATAAAATATGATATGAATATCTAATCAAAGGAAGAGAAATTTCCATTTTAGCTAAAAGTATTAATTGAATGAACGCTTTAATCGTCAATTTATTCAAATGCACTTGAGAAATATTCTAATATAATATTTAAAATAGAAAATTCTCTAACTTTTTACAGAGAAACTTTTTCATTTCGCATATGTACATGTCGATCAATCTACATCCGTTTAAAATATTGACATTTTTGACGTAACTAAGATAATAGGATTCATGCATCCAGATCAAATTTCCAGTTGAAAATTATAAACGTCAAGCAGCACAATAGGCTTCTCTCTCTTATTGTTACATGCATTCATAATCCGATACAATTGAGCATCCTTTTATACAACGGCACGTAGATATTATTAGGAAAACGTGTAATTTAGGTTTCTATTATAAAAAAAAGAAAAAAAGAGATAGTTAAGGGGTTAATGCACTTTCGATGTAACCCCAAAAATAGCGATCCATTCTAGAATTATCCAACGTGGACTCTCTCGAGACTAACGTCACGCTCGCGTCAAATTAACTGAGTTAATCAAAAGTTATATGAAGCGGGACGTAAGATTATAATACCGTCCCATCTACTTAATATCATTAAATGGATATTGATTACCGTTGGTACAAATCGTCCGCTTGACGATGTAGAGCTTGCGCATATTGCCGGTTATTTTCACGCGACAGCCTCGAAACGCTTGGCCTTATCTGAAGACGCGCACGACTCTCCGCATTCTCCACAGTCCGTTTGGTGACATCGAGATCGCGCGCGACGCCGTTAAGCTCCAATCTGCCAGAAGTAGCCATTCATACCGCCAGTAAGCTTCCCTCTCCGATCGGAGATATCCGCGATTTGTCTTTCGGTCGGAAGTAACTATCGCAACCAATTTCGCTCATTCAAATCGATTCTTCATATAGATAAAAAGTTACAATGTATATAGACATTCCTCAAAAAATTAAAAATTTTATAAAAAAATGAACCTTTTCATCGATTCTCACCAAATTTAATACCAACTATCCTTTAATAATATTTTATTCATGTAAAAAAATTTAACCCGATATTTCAAAATTTGCGAAAGTTAGAGCGTATACAGACATTTCTCAAAAAATTCAAAATTTTATAAAAAATTAACACTTTCACCGATCTTCACAAAATTCAATACCGATCATCCTTTAATAATACTCTATTTATGTAAAAAAATTTAACTCGATATCTAAAAATTTGCAAAAGTTAGAGCGTGTACAAACATTCCTCAAAAAATTTAAAATTTTATAAAAAATAAACCTTTTCACCGATCTTAAATTCAATACCAACCATCCTTTAATAATACCCTATTTATTTTAAGAAATTTAGCCCGATATCTCAAAAATTGCGGAAGTTGGAGGTTGTACATACAATGTACATTCCGTACATACATATATATATACAGACATTTTTTTTAAATATGATTTTTCGACATTTTGGAACATTTTAAACACATTGACATAGAAAACTGGAAAAAAAATTTGGCACGAAAACAAAACTTCTTCTATAAGGAAGCAAAAATTATTAATTTCTTAAAAAATTAAATGTTTTCTAATTTAAGTAGAGGAAATATTTTGCATCGGAAAATAACTTTATAAAATAAAATTTGTTTAGCGTGGGGTATTTTATAAAATAAATACAATTCATCTAAAAAAGATCAACAATTTTTTGAAAAAAGATAGGGATATATACCGGGAAGACTAGTGTAACTGCGCAGACTTTCTATAAACTCTTGTATACAAGAAATAATCTATCTTCGTAAACTTCATGTGTAAAGCACATTACGTTAGCACCTTGCTTCTCGAATGATCTTAGCTATCCGTCTTGTGTTATTCTCGACGCATAGTTTCAGAAAAATGCAGCACACGAGGTATGACATGTTTTCTCATATATCGGTCAAATGTCAGATCTTTATATCTCGGAAATATGAAGGCTCTTATTAAATTCCAAAATACGCAATTACAAAAATACATATGTATTTCTTGTCTACTCAATCAATTATTACATTGTTTCCATGAGCGCGGTTGCTAATTAATTATCTCGCCAATTAACAGTCGGTGTACTGTTACGGTAAAATTACCGTTACCGGAGAATTTGACCGAATGGAGCGGAGAACCGAAAAGAGAGTGAGATTAGAATTTCAGGCGGTAACGACTGAAAAAGGAAAGAAAAGGGAAGAGAGTTGAAACTAAAGTGTCGGCGCGGTAAAGAGATTTCCGTTACGACGCTTCCGGTAGCTCTCCGGCCAGAAAGTTGCACAACTCGGATTGAAGAGGCACGATGTCGTTATTGGAAAACGACCATACGTCACGGCGAAATGGGCGTCACCAGATGCGAGGATAACGAGAGGCGCGATGATGCACGGCGAATAAAAAAAGAAATCATCATATACGCGATCACGATTAAAATATCGATCGTAGTAAAGTAGCAAGCTGCGACATCGATTGAGAATTCTTAATGTCGTAGTGGAGGCGCGATGTCGAAATCCCGGTCTATTTATTCGACAGTGCAATTTTAAAGTTTAATCTTTTAAAATTGCGACAGAAATTTAAAAAATAATATCGCTGGATGAGTTTATTTTTACGAATATTAAAAAAAATAAGCATACTCTGTCGAAAAATTAAGTTATGAGTGACTCAGTATCACTTGAGTGCAAATGGAAAGCAACTATAGTCACGCGAAATTGTGTTATAAAATTTTGTTTAAAAATCGATGTAATGGAAGGAACGCTTGACAACGCGCCGACATTAAATTTTGCGTTAAATTAGAGAAGTCTCCAATAGAACCGTTACAAATGATTCAAGAAGTCTACGGAGAGTTCAGCTATGCATAAAGGTACAATTTCATGTGCTGCAAACTGGTGCAGCAGAAAGATCACGTGATCGAAATGGACGAATGAGTAACGACGGTGTGGCCGCTGATTCGTCCATTTCGATCACGTGATCTCTTTGCTGCACGAGGTTGCAGCATATAAATTTGTACCTTAAGAGTAACGTTTCAAAGCTACAGATGACATAAACAAAAACGTGAATCAAATTTTGAAAGGGCTTGCTTTAGAGGACTATCAGAGTTACTTTGAACAATGGCGGAGACGTTGAAATAAGTATGTCGAGTTAGGTGATGGCTACTTTGAAACTTTTTAACTGTCTAAGGTTTGTATGATTAAAAATAAATTTTTTATACTGAAGTCTCGAAACTTAATTGTTCCATAGTGTATACAAGGTGTCCCAGACCACCCGTACACCCCTTTTAAAAAGAAAATAAATGGCTTTTATCAAAAATCGCGAACATTTTTTAAGTAAATCGGGTATGCTCTATCGAATGGTGATATTTTCAACTTTTGATTCCGACCGGAAATACACCATCCGGACCGAAAGTTGAATTTTTTGAGAGGAACATAGAACTTTTTATTACAGATTCGAATTGTACGTGAAAAAATAAAAAACTTTTGTATTAAACGTTTTTTCTGAAAGTGCCTCTGTCAACCTTAAAATTGAAGTTCATAGTAACTGTGATGAAATTATCAAGTTCAATTTTAAGGTTGACAGAGGCACTTTCAGAAAAAACGTTTGATACAAAAGTTTCTTATTTTTTCACGTACAATTCGAATCTGTAATAAAAGGTACTATGTTTCCCTCAAAAAATTCAACTTTCGGTCCGGATGGCGTATTTCCGGTCGGAATCAAAAGTTGAAAATATCACCATTCGATAGAGCATACCCGATTTACTTAAAAAATGTTCGCGATTTTTTATAAAAACCATTTATTTTCATTTTAAAAGGGGTGTACGGGTGGTCTGGGACACCCTGTATATTAATTAAAATACAGTGTAACAAAAAAGAATACTTATTTTCGATTTTTTTACACTAAATACGATTCCGGTTTCTAAATTTCTCAGCGCATCACAATTTTGAGAAATTTGCGATTAGAGTTGCAAGAAAAGGCTATTTTAATAAGTATTTTATATCTATAGTATATGTCTGTGTGTGCGTGCGTGTGCGTGCGTGCGTGTGTGCGCGTGTGTGTGTGTGTGTGTGTGTGTGTGTGTGTGTGGGGGTGGGGGTGTGGGTGGGGGTGTGGGTGTGGGTGTGGGTGTGGGTGTGGGTGTGTGTGTGTGTGTGTGCAATGTGTTAGAGAAGACTTTATTGCAATCACTTAGAGATGCAGATACTTTATTGCAATCAAAGTTGTATATATTATTAAAACTTTGCCAAATAATACAAAAGAAATTTGTACCGATTATGGTTAATTGGATATTCATGATTAATATATGAGATAAATGATTATTCTCTTTGTGCTTGAAAAAAGTTATTTTTTGTTGAACTGTGTAATATATAACGTATCTTCTCTTTGTGTGTGCAAATTATAAAAGAATAAAATTTTAAAATGTGGGTTTCTTTAAATAAGTTGTCTCCCCTCTAGTGACAAATAAAAACTGCAAATAATTTGTTCGACAAAATCCATAGTTTTTAATAGCCACTAGCAAAGTGAACGAATACATTAATACCGTAATGACGTTTATTGACTTTTATTAGAAGTCTTGATTATCCAGTGATAATTTGTCTCGCAATGAATAACGCCGGGCAATACAATGAAAATATTTGCATTTTCTCGTCAAGGATTGATCATTCGAATTCTTCGAAATTCACGAAACCCGGTCGCTTGTGAGACGGGGCGTACTGCTTCAACAGAACGATCCTGGCGTCCCTTTTCGGATCCTTCGGCGGACTGGGCAATATGGTCCTTCGCATGCAGGGCATTTTGAACTTTCGATCGATCGGCTTGCAGCCCGGCATGACAGAGAGTCGTCTCTCGGCAGGCACGACGTTCATACGCCGCCACAGAAAATCCACCTCCCCCTTCATCTCCTTCGGCATCAGCTCGAGGATAAGCTGCTGCCTGGCAGTGACGTCGTCAAAGTCGCCGATCCGCTCTACGTCCAGCTCGTCCACAGCTTTTATGGCCCTTTCATAGAAATCTATCTGCGGAAACGTTATGAGATCGGCTCTTGAATTAACCGCGTCTCTCTAAACGGGAAATCCCTTTGCCTATTCCTACGTCAGCGGCTCGATTGTGTCGCGTTGTAAAAGGAGAGAACCGCTCTCGCGAAAGAGAGTCGTTTGTCTTTACAAAGAGAATGTATTTTCGAGAAATGATTTTTTTCCTTTTTTACGATATGAAAAAAACTCTGGCGATGAATAACAGGAATGCATAGCGTTTGAATAAAAAGAAGAAACAAACTCTTCAATGATTGTTAACATGTTTAAAGAAATATAACAGAGGCCAAAACTGTGCCGAGAAGAATCACATTTTGCTCTATTAACAGACATAACGTGACCCGTGATAACACAGATCTGCATGATTTTGCGGTCTGTGGAAATTGAATAGTTTCCTATAGTTTTTTGTGCGCTGAATCCAAATTCGCAAGGCAAAATGGCCTATCATGTCAGGTTTTCGTGAAAAATGGGACCCCCCAAAAAACTCGTTTTTTACCATTTTTGAAAATTTGTAGCAGACGAATCCGATGTGCAAGAGACTTTAGATAGGGCTCAAATCCCTGTAGTCGCACTGTGTCAAGTAGAACGATTGCTCCATTCAGTCCGACTGCAAGACCGACTGCATTGCTAATAGTAAAAAGTTCAATAGTGAATTTAATAAATGAGAAGATTATATTTTGTAAAAAATTGTTATTTTTCGAAAATTGTTTAAACAATATTTATTTTTAACAAATAAAAAAAAACATTTTTAGTGCGATTAAGCACTTTTAATCTCATGTATTGAATCCGCGATTAAAATTTTTACTGTTTGCAACGATTTTGCAATCGGATTGCATGAGGCAATCGTTCTACTTGACAATTCTACTTGACAGTGCGACTACATCTAAAAACAAAGCGCGCTTGAGGTTCGATGGTACCTGCGGTGAAAAATTCGATATTTTTATATTAAAGTACAATGTTCAAGCTTTTATTTGAGCCTTGTCTGAAGTCTGTTACATATGGGGTTTGTCTGCTACGAATTTTCAAAAATGATGAAAAACATGTTTCTTGGGGTTTCGACCCCACTTTTCTCGAAAATCTGACGTGATAGGCCATTTTGTCTTGCGGATTTGGATTTAGCGTACAAAAAAAACTATAGAAAACTACTTGTTTTTTCCATTCCGCAAAAAAAATATAAAATTATGCAGATCTGTGTAATGCTTCGATGAATGTAATTTGCGCACAGCTCTAGACATAGCTCAATAAAAAATTTAAATTACCAAGACGCGCGTTGCTCCAGAGAAAGGATTAAATTAATGCAAATTATTAAATATTGCGATCGAGTAAAGATTTCTTACGATTACGAACGAATCCATATTACTCGCCACTTTCCGAGATATCTTTTTAGACCCGCGAGCCAATTTTAAATGATATGTAATCTGGTATCGATCGGTAGAATAAATTCGAATGCAAAGCGACGCTATTATGAGCTCGTGTTGTCGCAAAATTGTGATTTTATTTTTAATTTTGAAATTTTATTTTTACCAGATAATCGATACCAAGTTTTTTGGCGCACGCGAGCGCTAAAACTGCGGCGTCTCTCGCCTCGTTCCGATTATTCTGATGAATCTCTATTTGCAGTATCAGATGATCGATGTTCAGGACCCACTCTTCGCAGTCCGCCTTCTGCGCTATGTCGCGACCCTTCTTCGCGTAGAATCTGGCCAAATCGAAGCGATGAATGTCGATAAGAAACTTGCAAAATTCATGATGCAGCCAGGCAAGTTCGAGAGGCGTGGATGCCATGGCTAATCTCCTACTCTCCAGGTCGCAAATATTGAAAGCATTTTCGGAATATTAATCAATTAGATGAAAATTATCGTAGCAGATTAATCGCGTACAACGTAATTATCACATCAGAAATTCTATGCATAAATTATCTATTTATGATGTTGATAAATGTTATATTACCTATTGTATAATTGTATAATTCATTATTATAATTGTGTGTATGCTATAAATAGAGAGATAAAAAAGCAGTATATATATTATTTTAAATTATTTTAAAAGGGAATATGAGCTCTCTCTCTCTCTCTCTCTCTTTCTCTCTCTCTTATAAAAAATATATGCTGATAAATGAAATAAAATTTAGAAAAATATGAAACGCAAGAAATTATTGTTTCGGAAAAATCGATAGTACAAGAGTTTTATCAGATATTCTAATATATCCTGCTCAAAAAGGAGTTGCTTATGAATAAATTATATACCTACGAAACATCTTCAGCGTCTCCTTCGGATTCACAGTCGACATCCACGCGAGATCGCTGTCTCGTGGCAATGTCACAACTCGTATTCCCAAGTGATGTTTTAAATATCTCGTTTTCAATTTCTCGTTGTCCAGACACATCAAATTACGCATGTCGATGTATACCCATGCCACCATTTTACACAGCGCGTCTAGGCACTTTTGCTTTAGCGGAAACATCTTGTCCGAGTACGAGTCAAATTTATTCTTGATACGATTTATGAGTCTGATGTAAAAAGTAAGACTAAATTTTCTAAACTGTATTACAAAGTTTTATGACATTTTACCTTTCGTGAATATTCTAAAAATATAAAATTCGACAAATATTGTATTTCGGTTTCAACGAAGGAACATTCGAAATATTGCATATATAATATATCGACAATTCATTGAATGATTCAGATGTCACTACTGACTTGAAAAAGGTAGGGTAATCCTTGGTGATCTTCGCGACGTGCACGCGGTGCAACAGAAAATCCGCTTCTAAGACGATGATGTTCCTGCGCAATTTTCGCTCGCGTTCAATCATCATTTTGCATCCTTTCGAAATCTTCCGTCGCTGGAAGAGCAGAATGTAAAGCGGTCGTCTCATTCGGAGAAGCTCCTGCAGGTTCATCGCGTTTCGATGGCACGTACTCGCGAGAGCGAGCAGCTCGGCAGTCGAGATCTTACTAGGTGAAACCACGATTTCCGGACGGTTCACAATCTCCTCGAGAAAATCCTTATCGGTCGTCAAGCCACCCATATCCAATTTCGCTATGACGCGTTGCAGTCTTTTCATCTGCGCTTGACGTTGCACTTCCGGATCGTTTACTTTAAATCTTGCCTTATCCTCATCGATACCTACGATTAAAGCCAATCTACATCCACTATAAACAAACCGATAAACAAAATTTTTCTTCTTTTTTATAGCAGCATATTTAATATTAATATTTCAACGCTAATAGATTTTTTAAAAGAATGTGATTATTTTCCTAAATTATAGCGCTAAAAAGTATTGGCTTCATACTCACCTCATAATTACTTGGATTAATTTCATAGCGGTAAAAGATTTGATAAGAAACAAAATATTTTCGTGCTTTATTCTAGCGAGAAAATTGAATCTCTTCTCGTAAAAAACGCAAAACGCTATTCTACGAGAAGACTATTTTCTCACCTTATCGTCGCTTGAGGATGAATAGCGACGATACCGGCGAGATTTATTCTAAACACACAATACACACCTTCGAACTCGTCTTCCTCTACCTCGAGCTTGCCGATCAGAAGCTCACGGTGCTCGCACAACCGTTGTATCCACGGATATAGCAGCAGGAGTGCCATAGGAGACGTATTCAGGCCGATACAATCTTCAACAGTCTCGTTCGTCTGATAGACACCGTGCTCAAAGGTCATCCCGTGCCGTCGCATGCCTTCGTAGGCGTGAGCCAGGCTGGAACCGAACTCACCGATCTGGAAAAGCGCCTCCATCCGCATCTGCCGCGCTTTGTAATGACCGGGATCTGCAACCGAGATACGATCGCAAAGATCAAGCGCCCGCTATTTTATCAAGCGAAAGACAATTAATCGATGCTATGCTTAAGCGAGTTTATCTCTAGCACGGTTCTTTATAGGATAAACACATTATTCCATAAATTGAACATGTAAACGAACGAAATGTGAAGAAGAACAATTCTGAATAAACTGAAGACAAGAATGTTACAGTCATAAACGTAAAAAGAAGAAATAAAATAAATAGAAATAATGAATAATAAGGAATAATTGCAATAAAGCGTATCAAGAAAGTACAGAGAACAAAAAGCGCCCTCAGCATTTATGCCGTTTTACATTTTAAAAAATTTCTTGCAACCGTACCTATTTTCATACATTTCTCCGACAGTTTTTCCGCGGCAACGTATCTCGTGTGTTTGATGAGCGTTCTACAGAGACCGATTAACGTTCTGAGGTCCTCGACCGATTTAGATGCCTTCTCGAAATAATCTATGGCCAAGGGGTATCTGCCCAGACTGGCCAGTCGATAGCCCCATTCACGATAAAGAATAGCCTCCCTGAAGACTTCGGGAGCTTCTTCCCTCTTCGACACTGACATGACGATTTATTGAATCTTTTCAAGAAGAAAAAGGCATAATTCATGTATAGCACGTTGCCAAAAATTAATATTGTCCCATTAAAGAATAGATAATTCAAAGTAAAAAAAGAAAAATTATCAAGAACCTACCTATATCTCTTTTTTAAGCAATAAATTTTTCTGACGTAATGTACGAAAGAAATATAATAAAATCTTATAGAGTTAATTTTCACATAATTGCTTTTTTTATGTAATTAACATCTTTTAAATTACATTTACATAATTTATTGGATATATATCACAATTTTTGGCATTAGATGACATCCAGACATGGAAAATGGATGGTATATATTGTGTGAAGATAGACGAATACAAACGAGTATACATTATAGAGGTTACGCGATATTCCGACTCTCGCTAAATTCCAAAATGTAGCTTAACGTGGAATGTAATTCGATACAAAGTATATTGTGTTAAATTCAATCTGTTCCCATATTTACGAATCTATATCAATAGCGTGTAGGTAATATAGCACAGTCTATCAGATATAACTATTTAATGATTCTTATTGAATCGATTAGCAATGTTATTAAAATATATCAAATTATCAGGGTTGGGAAAGTTACTTTTTATAAAAATAACTCGTTACCGTTACCGTTCTTTTTCTAAAAAGTAACTCGTTACCGTTATTTGTTACCAAGGTTAAAAAATAACTCTTTACCATTACCGTTAATCAAAGGCCGTGTTCCAAAATTTACTGCCAATACTAGAAATCTATAATATATGTTACGTATACTATAGATTCCCAGTACTGGCAGTGAATTATGGGACACAGCCGAAAAGTAACGAGTTGTTATAATTTCCGTTACTTTTTTTATATACAATACAAACTTTACATACAATTTTTTTTAACACAATATAAAATTAAACACTAAAAATGTACACTTAACACTAAAAATTTTTAAACATTATTTTATATGTGCTATTCGCCTTACAAAATAGAAAGAAACAAAATATTTAAAAGAGCTTCCAGTAATTTTCATGTAATGCTGCATTCCAACACTCTTATCAATATGTTCCTTTGTATGAAAATTATGCCAAATAAAATCAAAAAAAGTAAGGATAAAAGTAACTGTTGAAGTCGTTATTCATTACCGAAAAATGTAACGAAGTTACTTTTCCCGTTACTTTTATAAAGTTACCGAAAAAAGTAACTGTAATGATAACGGCATTACAAGTAACACTGCATGAGGCAATCGTTCTACTTGACAATTCTACTTGACAGTGCGACTACATCTAAAAACAAAGCGCGCTTGAGGTTCGATGGTACCTGCGGTGAAAAATTCGATATTTTTATATTAAAGTACAATGTTCAAGCTTTTATTTGAGCCTTGTCTGAAGTCTGTTACATATGGGGTTTGTCTGCTACGAATTTTCAAAAATGATGAAAAACATGTTTCTTGGGGTTTCGACCCCACTTTTCTCGAAAATCTGACGTGATAGGCCATTTTGTCTTGCGGATTTGGATTTAGCGTACAAAAAAAACTATAGAAAACTACTTGTTTTTTCCATTCCGCAAAAAAAATATAAAATTATGCAGATCTGTGTAATGCTTCGATGAATGTAATTTGCGCACAGCTCTAGACATAGCTCAATAAAAAATTTAAATTACCAAGACGCGCGTTGCTCCAGAGAAAGGATTAAATTAATGCAAATTATTAAATATTGCGATCGAGTAAAGATTTCTTACGATTACGAACGAATCCATATTACTCGCCACTTTCCGAGATATCTTTTTAGACCCGCGAGCCAATTTTAAATGATATGTAATCTGGTATCGATCGGTAGAATAAATTCGAATGCAAAGCGACGCTATTATGAGCTCGTGTTGTCGCAAAATTGTGATTTTATTTTTAATTTTGAAATTTTATTTTTACCAGATAATCGATACCAAGTTTTTTGGCGCACGCGAGCGCTAAAACTGCGGCGTCTCTCGCCTCGTTCCGATTATTCTGATGAATCTCTATTTGCAGTATCAGATGATCGATGTTCAGGACCCACTCTTCGCAGTCCGCCTTCTGCGCTATGTCGCGACCCTTCTTCGCGTAGAATCTGGCCAAATCGAAGCGATGAATGTCGATAAGAAACTTGCAAAATTCATGATGCAGCCAGGCAAGTTCGAGAGGCGTGGATGCCATGGCTAATCTCCTACTCTCCAGGTCGCAAATATTGAAAGCATTTTCGGAATATTAATCAATTAGATGAAAATTATCGTAGCAGATTAATCGCGTACAACGTAATTATCACATCAGAAATTCTATGCATAAATTATCTATTTATGATGTTGATAAATGTTATATTACCTATTGTATAATTGTATAATTCATTATTATAATTGTGTGTATGCTATAAATAGAGAGATAAAAAAGCAGTATATATATTATTTTAAATTATTTTAAAAGGGAATATGAGCTCTCTCTCTCTCTCTCTCTCTTTCTCTCTCTCTTATAAAAAATATATGCTGATAAATGAAATAAAATTTAGAAAAATATGAAACGCAAGAAATTATTGTTTCGGAAAAATCGATAGTACAAGAGTTTTATCAGATATTCTAATATATCCTGCTCAAAAAGGAGTTGCTTATGAATAAATTATATACCTACGAAACATCTTCAGCGTCTCCTTCGGATTCACAGTCGACATCCACGCGAGATCGCTGTCTCGTGGCAATGTCACAACTCGTATTCCCAAGTGATGTTTTAAATATCTCGTTTTCAATTTCTCGTTGTCCAGACACATCAAATTACGCATGTCGATGTATACCCATGCCACCATTTTACACAGCGCGTCTAGGCACTTTTGCTTTAGCGGAAACATCTTGTCCGAGTACGAGTCAAATTTATTCTTGATACGATTTATGAGTCTGATGTAAAAAGTAAGACTAAATTTTCTAAACTGTATTACAAAGTTTTATGACATTTTACCTTTCGTGAATATTCTAAAAATATAAAATTCGACAAATATTGTATTTCGGTTTCAACGAAGGAACATTCGAAATATTGCATATATAATATATCGACAATTCATTGAATGATTCAGATGTCACTACTGACTTGAAAAAGGTAGGGTAATCCTTGGTGATCTTCGCGACGTGCACGCGGTGCAACAGAAAATCCGCTTCTAAGACGATGATGTTCCTGCGCAATTTTCGCTCGCGTTCAATCATCATTTTGCATCCTTTCGAAATCTTCCGTCGCTGGAAGAGCAGAATGTAAAGCGGTCGTCTCATTCGGAGAAGCTCCTGCAGGTTCATCGCGTTTCGATGGCACGTACTCGCGAGAGCGAGCAGCTCGGCAGTCGAGATCTTACTAGGTGAAACCACGATTTCCGGACGGTTCACAATCTCCTCGAGAAAATCCTTATCGGTCGTCAAGCCACCCATATCCAATTTCGCTATGACGCGTTGCAGTCTTTTCATCTGCGCTTGACGTTGCACTTCCGGATCGTTTACTTTAAATCTTGCCTTATCCTCATCGATACCTACGATTAAAGCCAATCTACATCCACTATAAACAAACCGATAAACAAAATTTTTCTTCTTTTTTATAGCAGCATATTTAATATTAATATTTCAACGCTAATAGATTTTTTAAAAGAATGTGATTATTTTCCTAAATTATAGCGCTAAAAAGTATTGGCTTCATACTCACCTCATAATTACTTGGATTAATTTCATAGCGGTAAAAGATTTGATAAGAAACAAAATATTTTCGTGCTTTATTCTAGCGAGAAAATTGAATCTCTTCTCGTAAAAAACGCAAAACGCTATTCTACGAGAAGACTATTTTCTCACCTTATCGTCGCTTGAGGATGAATAGCGACGATACCGGCGAGATTTATTCTAAACACACAATACACACCTTCGAACTCGTCTTCCTCTACCTCGAGCTTGCCGATCAGAAGCTCACGGTGCTCGCACAACCGTTGTATCCACGGATATAGCAGCAGGAGTGCCATAGGAGACGTATTCAGGCCGATACAATCTTCAACAGTCTCGTTCGTCTGATAGACACCGTGCTCAAAGGTCATCCCGTGCCGTCGCATGCCTTCGTAGGCGTGAGCCAGGCTGGAACCGAACTCACCGATCTGGAAAAGCGCCTCCATCCGCATCTGCCGCGCTTTGTAATGACCGGGATCTGCAACCGAGATACGATCGCAAAGATCAAGCGCCCGCTATTTTATCAAGCGAAAGACAATTAATCGATGCTATGCTTAAGCGAGTTTATCTCTAGCACGGTTCTTTATAGGATAAACACATTATTCCATAAATTGAACATGTAAACGAACGAAATGTGAAGAAGAACAATTCTGAATAAACTGAAGACAAGAATGTTACAGTCATAAACGTAAAAAGAAGAAATAAAATAAATAGAAATAATGAATAATAAGGAATAATTGCAATAAAGCGTATCAAGAAAGTACAGAGAACAAAAAGCGCCCTCAGCATTTATGCCGTTTTACATTTTAAAAAATTTCTTGCAACCGTACCTATTTTCATACATTTCTCCGACAGTTTTTCCGCGGCAACGTATCTCGTGTGTTTGATGAGCGTTCTACAGAGACCGATTAACGTTCTGAGGTCCTCGACCGATTTAGATGCCTTCTCGAAATAATCTATGGCCAAGGGGTATCTGCCCAGACTGGCCAGTCGATAGCCCCATTCACGATAAAGAATAGCCTCCCTGAAGACTTCGGGAGCTTCTTCCCTCTTCGACACTGACATGACGATTTATTGAATCTTTTCAAGAAGAAAAAGGCATAATTCATGTATAGCACGTTGCCAAAAATTAATATTGTCCCATTAAAGAATAGATAATTCAAAGTAAAAAAAGAAAAATTATCAAGAACCTACCTATATCTCTTTTTTAAGCAATAAATTTTTCTGACGTAATGTACGAAAGAAATATAATAAAATCTTATAGAGTTAATTTTCACATAATTGCTTTTTTTATGTAATTAACATCTTTTAAATTACATTTACATAATTTATTGGATATATATCACAATTTTTGGCATTAGATGACATCCAGACATGGAAAATGGATGGTATATATTGTGTGAAGATAGACGAATACAAACGAGTATACATTATAGAGGTTACGCGATATTCCGACTCTCGCTAAATTCCAAAATGTAGCTTAACGTGGAATGTAATTCGATACAAAGTATATTGTGTTAAATTCAATCTGTTCCCATATTTACGAATCTATATCAATAGCGTGTAGGTAATATAGCACAGTCTATCAGATATAACTATTTAATGATTCTTATTGAATCGATTAGCAATGTTATTAAAATATATCAAATTATCAGGGTTGGGAAAGTTACTTTTTATAAAAATAACTCGTTACCGTTACCGTTCTTTTTCTAAAAAGTAACTCGTTACCGTTATTTGTTACCAAGGTTAAAAAATAACTCTTTACCATTACCGTTAATCAAAGGCCGTGTTCCAAAATTTACTGCCAATACTAGAAATCTATAATATATGTTACGTATACTATAGATTCCCAGTACTGGCAGTGAATTATGGGACACAGCCGAAAAGTAACGAGTTGTTATAATTTCCGTTACTTTTTTTATATACAATACAAACTTTACATACAATTTTTTTTAACACAATATAAAATTAAACACTAAAAATGTACACTAAACACTAAAAATTTTTAAACATTATTTTATATGTGCTATTCGCCTTACAAAATAGAAAGAAACAAAATATTTAAAAGAGCTTCCAGTAATTTTCATGTAATGCTGCATTCCAACACTCTTATCAATATGTTCCTATATATATATATACATATATACAGTCCTACCAAAAATGGCCATCCCCTTTTATCTTTTTATCTTTTTAAATTAAATCTTTTAAACTAAAAGAGATAGTGCATTGAAGATTGACGTATGTCATGTTGTCATTTGATCATAAGACTCGAGTCAGAAGTTGGCCATATTGTAAGGCCGAAAATGAAAAGATAGACGCCACCCGCGATATTTTAAACCGATAAAACTCGTATAATATAAAAAATATTTACATTAAATTGTACATTGTTGTATTTGTTTCAAACAGCACTACAACTTTTATTGTGTCGAGTTCAGTTTGAACCATTTAATTTGATATATATTTGTTATAGTCTATCTCTTTTATTCCGTTACTTTTTTTATATACAATACAAACTTTACATACAATTTTTTTTAACACAATATAAAATTAAACACTAAAAATGTACACTAAACACTAAAAATTTTTAAACATTATTTTATATGTGCTATTCGCCTTACAAAATAGAAAGAAACAAAATATTTAAAAGAGCTTCCAGTAATTTTCATGTAATGCTGCATTCCAACACTCTTATCAATATGTTCCTTTGTATGAAAATTATGCCAAATAAAATCAAAAAAAGTAAGGATAAAAGTAACTGTTGAAGTCGTTATTCATTACCGAAAAATGTAACGAAGTTACTTTTCCCGTTACTTTTATAAAGTTACCGAAAAAAGTAACTGTAATGATAACGGCATTACAAGTAACATATTATTTCCCAACCCTGCAAATTATGATTATTTCTTTTCACATAAGAGAATATACGTCACTTTAAAAGCGGAATTTAAAACGCGTATTCGCAATTGTCGTTTTCAAAAGGCAACGTCAAAGATAGTTGCTATTCCCGAAACCAGGTCGCTTTTCTCTTCGCTCTTCCCTCATTGGAAAACTACCGTTTGAGTCTTGTCCGTTTCAATATTAGCAGTACCAGCGTTATACACGATGACAAGTACCACAAAGGCCATTACGGACATTATAGTATATTTAAAAATGAAAACGGATTACAGCTACGGATTGATTCTCGAAAACTGCGAGGAAATTGGATAAGAATTTTTTAGTTATCGCTCTTTAAATCTCAAAGAGAATATTCAATGAAATATTTTACATTTCCGAGATTTTGCGGTATTCATGAAAATTATTAAGTAAGAAGTTACCCAGACAGCACAAGGATGTCCTTAGGACGTCCAAAGGGCATCCAGGACATACATGTAGGATATCCTGAGGATATCCTATTTTAATCCTCGGATCTCCTCTGGATGTCCTGAGGAAGAGTAAATAATAGCCGTACACTAGCCTCTGGATAATCCAGGGAGATCCTGTGGAACATCTTAAAGATTTCTATAGGATATGTTAGGGATATTTTTCACACGTTAAAAAGAACAAATTCTAAAATTTAAATATAAATTAAGATTGCGTTCTGTTATTTACTACCAATACTAAAAATCTAATACTAAAAATAGTTCACGTTCTTTAATATTTGAGGTTTTCGTGCTGTACATGAATAGTTTAGGTTTGGCTTCCGGGTTTGAGTCATGTAATATTTTCAAAACAATCCAATATCTGAATTCCCTATGTTGGGATTGCATCAGAAATTGAACTGATAAAAAATAATTATATTTTTAATTTCCTGTTAGTTGCTCTTTGCAAGCTTTATATAATTCTCATGACCAAATCTCAAATACGAGTTCGCGCGTCGCATAGCGGTAAACAAACAAACTAGCGGTTGAATACTATTTTTTGTAAAGTTTTTGGAATGTTGCGCATAGTAACATTTCTCATGAAATATTAAATAAATAATAATTTTGAATATATGAAAATGTGCGCATCAAATTCAATTATTAATATTAAACGAAATTAATGTTAACAATTAATTGCACATGTATATATCCTCTGGAAATCCAAAGGACATCCAATATAATAGACAGGGCAGATATCCTACAGACATCCAGGGGTTATCCAGGGGACATTTATAGGACATTAATACTTATTACAATACTTAAAATTTCTAAATTATATTAAATAGCCTACATAACCGAAAGTAATCATGTATGCATATTAAATTTTCATAAAATATATTTATAATAATATCTTAAAACATCCTACAAATATCCTGAACCATCCTGGACATATTCAGGATGATCCTGAGGACGTTTTGTGCTGTCTGGGTAATTATCGCGCGCGCGCGTTTATTGTCAAAAACTGCTAAATACTTCAAAATATGCAAAATTAAAAAATATTGAAGAAGTTTCTAAAAAAAGCGTTTGAAACACAATAGAATGTCTTTCTCTTTTAAAGATTGTATGAATTTATTCTTATCAATATTATATATTATATATTATATGTTAAAGTAACGATTATTGCCATTGCGATTGATAAACAATATTACATTTTCAGATTCCTACAAATCAATCAAGACGACTCCTTGTAATCGCGGACCATCGGGTTAGAAGTGTCCTCGAGATGCGGTGATGGCTTTGTTGTATAGGTTCGCGCAGCTGCACGATCGCAGTGGCACGCGGGTCTTCTCCTTCGTCGTCACTAGGACCGTCGTGCGCGATCCTGACAGGGACGTCACAAGTAAGGAACTAGTATGCGGTTTCCAGAGGTGGGCCGTCGCTTTCTCGCGCGGAGAAAAGGTAACTCGATCTATACGCGTCTTAGTCCATTAAGGCTAATCATCAAAATCATGAAATGTAATTTTCTTTACAAAGAATGATGCCCAGGCCCCATTGAAAGTTTACCTCTTTTTGGTAAATTGAAACATTAATATTTTGTTATCTAAAAATAAATTTTTTATTGTCTACGTTATAAAAGGTGATTCTAAATAAATGATAAAAATTATAGGAGATAATTCTTTGTCGAAAATTAAGGGAGGGGGGGAGTCTTTCATATAAACATATACTCCTATATCCATCTCTGAGAAGTTACACTTCTTCAAAAGGGAAGTGAAAATTAGGTTTGTATTTTTTTCTCAAATTTTGGACAAAAAATGAAATTTGGTGAACATTTTCTCTACTAGTAAAAAAGATACTTATTAATATCTTTTTAATCCTCCCGTATCGTTATAGAGAGATGAAACCAGCAATCTCTATTTAATTTTTTATTAGAACTTTTTAACGGAGCGGAATGTGATCATCTAAAAATATGCGTTAAGCTAGTTTTCCACGATGCGATTTTTCGTGCAAGTTTACTTGTGAGGAGCCCTGCCAGCCACCGTGCAGGCTACGCAGCGAGAAAAGTTGCTTGCTGCGAGTAGCGCTGCGTGTAGCGCTGACGGTTTTCGTTGATAGAACGAGTGCTATTTTCTCTGCGTATTTTGTTGCTAGGCATTGTAAACAACCAATGAGAACTAGCGACTAGATTATGTGACAAAGTTGACATGATCTTGTTGTTCTTTTTGGTTATCATTGTGTGTCATTTTTTCATCCAAAGTCTTCTTTGTCGTCTTTTTATGACGGTTTCTTTCCACTTCCAAAATTAGCAAAAGAAAAAGTGCTCCTAAACTTTTCCTGCGGACAGCGTCCACCTTTCAAAATTTTTTTTTAAGGAGCAGCGCACAAATTATCGTCCGTTCCATCCGCTAACAAGGAACATTCGGCAACGCAAAAATTCAAAAAAATCTGAAACTTTGCATAATTATAGAATAGTAGTCCCTAATAACAAAACGATTTTTTGTTGGTGCTAAAAATCGGTTTCAGGGGTAAAAACAACCCTTTAGAAAAAATCGGTTTTCACATTCCGAAGCGAATATTATTGAAACAAAAAGAAATATGAAAAAATTGTTTAAACAAAAGTTTTATGGTTTCAAATGTACTTTACAATGGCGTATCTGGATTTTTAAAAAATGGTAAATTTTTTGAAATACCCCCACCAATCAATATTTTTCTTTGATATTTTGAAAAAATTTTCAAATTATATTAAAG